CGCGGGGCGCGGCCTCCCCGCGGGGGGGGGGGGGGGCTGGTGTCCAGGCCCGTAGCCACAGCGGGGCACCTCGGGGCGAGGCCGCCCTGACTTCCTGGCAAGGCCCCACCACGCCCCATCCAGCCCAGGGCCCCTGAGCTGCGGCAGGTGTGGGAACAGAGCCAGGTAGTCCTTTAATTCGATTAGCCAGCACCCCCTAAGAAATGTAAATGCTCCCCCCCTCCCCCGTGCAGGTGGTGACGCTCTGGTACCGCCCTCCGGACGTGCTCTTTGGTGCCAAACTCTACTCCACCTCCATCGAGGAGGGCTCCAGACTAGCGAACTAACCTATGCAGTCGCCAAACTGCTCGCTCCCAACTTGAATGCCAGTGGCTCACAAGGTAGAATTTTTGCTCACAGGACTCCACAGCTTAGAGGGGGCGTTGCCGGCCCCCAAGGAAGTCCCGGGTGGCTGTGCTGAGGCAGGCCAGGGCAACCCGCCCCTGAAGGTCTCTTCCCCCTTGAGAACCCCACGAGGGGCCACCGGAACTCAGTTGCAGCTTGAGGGCACTTTCCAAGGCAGGGGGGTGGTGGCTTCCACGCCAGAGAAGGGAGGCTGAGTGACCTGGTGGTGCCTTAACTCTCCCACGCTGCTGGGGACCCCGACGGAGGAACAGTGGCCGGGGATGACCAAGCTCCCGGACTACAAGGTACAGCCGCCCGGCCCCGGAAGGGAGCGGCCCCGGGGGGGGGGGGGCGTTGTCCGGGGGCGGGGGGGGAAGGGGGGGCAGCAGCCTACTTTCCCGGGGGAGGGGGGCTTCTGGGGTGCCTGGAGGCAGGCGATGCTTCCTTCCTCGAAGGAGGCAGCTTTTCCTGGCCAGGGTCTTACCTGCTGTCCCCCTGCAAGTCCTTTTATGGATCAAAAACTGGCTAATTAATAGAAAACAGAGAGTGAGTATAAATGGGCAATTTTCTCAGTGGAGGGGGGTAAGCAGTGGGGTACCGCAGGGATCAGTACTTGGTCCACTGCTTTTTAACTTGTTCATTAATGATTTGGAGATGGGAGTAAGCAGTGAAGTGGCTAAATTTGCGGATGATACGAAGTTGTTCAGGGTGGTGAAAACCAGTGAGGATTGTGAGGCACTCCAAAGGGATCTGTCAAAGATGGGCAAGTGGGCGTCAACATGGCAAATGGGGTTCAATGTGGCCAAGTGCAAGGTGATGCACATTGGAGCCAAAAATCCTAAATATAAATACACATTGATGGGGTCTGAACTGGCAGAGACAGATCAAGAGAGAGATCTTGGAGTTGTAGTAGATAACTCACTGAAAATGTCAAGACAGTGTGTGACTGCAATAAAGAAGGCCAATGCTATGCTGGGGATTATTAGGAAGGGTATTGAAAACAGATCAGCCAATATAATAATGCCCCTATATAAATCAATGGTGAGACCTCATTTGGAATACTGTGTGCAGTTCTGGGCACCACACCTTAAAAAGGATATTATAGCTTTGGAAAAAGTGCAGAAAAGGGCAACTCGAATGATAAAAGGGTTGGAACACTTTCCCTATGAGGAAAGGTTAAAGCGCTTAGGGCTCTTTAGCTTGGAGAAAAGACGACTGAGGGGTGACATGATCGAGGTTTATAAGATTATGCATGGGAAAGAGCAGGTAGAGAAAGAGGTACTTTTCTCCCTTTCTCACAATACAAGAACCCGTGGGCACTCCATGAAATTGCTGAGCGGTCGGGTTAGAACGGATAAAAGGAAGTACTTCTTCACCCAAAGAGTGATTAACACATGGAATTCACTGCCACAGGAAGTGGTGGGTGCTACAAGCATGGACGGCTTCAAAAGGGAATTAGATAAGCATATGGAGCAGAGGTCCATCAGTGGCTATTAGCCACAAGGTATAGCTAGGGGCTCTGGGGCAAGTGATGCTCTGTCTTCTTGGTGCTTGGGGGGGGGGTCAACAGTGGGAGGGCTTCTGGTGTCCCCCTGGCCCCACTGCTGGACCTCCTGATGGCCCCTGGTATTTCTGGCCACTGTGTGACACAGAAGAGTGTTGGGCTAGATGGGCCTTTGGCCTGATCCAACACTGGCATCTCTTATGTTCTTATGCAGCCCTACCCCATGTACCCTGCCACGACGTCCCTGGTCAACGTGGTGCCCAAGCTGAACACGACCGGCCGGGACCTGCTTCAGGTGAGCTCTCCTCCTCCCTTGCCCGCCTCCCGCCCACTTCCCCCCCCCCGGCAGGGGTCTCCGCTCAGCCCCTCCCCCTCTTCTCCCGCTCCTACAGAACCTGCTGAAGTGCAACCCGGTCCATCGGATCTCTGCCGAAGAGGCCCTGCAGCACCCCTACTTCACAGACTTCTGCCCCCCTTAGGGGGTCCCCCCCACACACACACACACTGGAGGCTGCTCGAGGGCCAGGCGTGGCTCGGGGGCTTCCGGGACACGAAGGAGCCGCGTGGAGATGGGACCAGCCGGAAGGACATCCCGATGGGACCCAGAGGCGGGTTGGCAAGAGCATGTTCAGTATCTGGCTGTGCCTCAGCTGGGGTGGGGCGGGGCGGGGGACGGGGATTGGAACCAAATGTGAATAATTGTGAATTCTATAAAATACTTCTTGGACCTCTGCCAGCCCCCTGCCTTTTTATTCAAAACCCCCCCCCCCCAAAACCCAGACAACACACCTGTGCTTCTTTATGGCACGGACAGTGCTCACAGCCAGGGTTCCCTCTAAGCTGAGTTAGCGTGAGACACTGGCGTCTCGTCACACATTTCTGTCTTAGCTCAGGAAGGATGGCCCCAGAGGAAACTAATTTATGCAGCAGCCAAACTGTTCGCTTATGACTTTAGAGAGCCAGTTTGGTGTCGTGGTTAAGTGCACGTGGACTCTAATCTGAGAGAACCAGGTTTGATTCCCCACTCCTCCTCCACCTGCACCTGGCTGGATGACCTTGGGCAAGCCATAGTTCTGACAAGAGCTGTCCTTGAAAAAGAGCCGTTTGTGTCAAGAGCTCTCTCAACCCCACCTACCTCACAGGGTGTCTGTTGTGGGGAAGGGAAAGGAAAGGAGTTTGTAAGTAGCTCTGAGACACCTTTGGGTAGTGAAGGGCGGGGGGTAAATCCAATCTCCTCCTCCTCCTCCTCCTCCTCCTCCTCCTTTTAGTGCCAGGAGCTCAGAAAGCAGATTTTTTGCGCACAAGACTCCACAGCTTAGAGGGAGGGAGCATTGCTCAGAGTTCTCCTGGCGCTCTCCCCCTAACAGCAGGGGGCTGCCGGCATGTTGTGTGTGTGTGTGTGTGTGTTGGGGGTCTGTCATGAGCAACACCGGCCGTGGCTGTGTTGCGGCAGCAACGAGACACTCGTCTGCCCCCCTTTTCCCAGTGGGGTGTGTGTGTGGGGGGGAAACACGATGCAGCGGAGTACCCAAGTGGCTCTTTAATGCTACACAGGCACAGAAGGGGGGGGGCACAGATGAAGCAGCAGCAGCCCACTCATGCACAGAGCCGGAGGAGGCGACACGTGGGAGGAGTCATGCGTCGATGAGGGCAGCCCAGATGCCCTGGCGGGGGGGGGGGCCCTCTTTCATTCGGGGTCCGTCCCATGGGGCTGCCTTGGCCGGACGGACCCCTCTCCCTCTTGCCTCGGAGCGGAGCTGGGGGGTTCTCCCCACCCCGGACCCTCCCCCAATAATCACCACCGAGTGCCAAGCGTCCAACAAGGCCGGGTTTAATCGGAGGCTGCAGTGCTGGGCAGCATCTCTCCTCCCCCTGCCTCCCCCCCCCCCCGGCCCTGGGGCCTTGAAGGAGCTCTTCCGGGGGAGGCCAGGGAAGCCGGAGTCTTGGGGGGGGGGCTGCTCCCCACCCGCTCTGCGTCCTTGTGGCCTCAGCACAGCCTTCCTTACGCTCCGGCCGGGGTGGGGTGGGGGTCGCTGCTGGAGCCAGCCAGCCCTCCCCCCCTCCTGGCTGTGGCTTCCTCCGGGCGGCTGCCACTGGACCAGTTGGCTCGTCGATGGGGGGGGGAGCCGGGGGGCGCCCTCTTCTAGCAGGCGAATTCCTCAAAGTGGCCTAGAGTCGTGTGACGAGGTGGCAGGTTCGGGGTGGATCCGCGGCTCTAGGACTGGCTGCGCAGGGTGGGGCGGGCGCTCTGTGGGGGGGGGGGAGAAGAAGGAGAAGAAGAAGAGCAAGGTGAGCGAGGAGGAGGAGGAGGGACGTTCCTGTCGGTCTTCTCATGGGCAGCCGGCCTTTCTGGAGCCCTTGGCTTACACACACACCCCGTCCCAGCCCCCTGGTTCAACAGCAGTGCCAGCAAGGGGAGGGGGGCCTGGACGCTGAGGTTGCAGGAACCACCCTGGAGCCCGGGGTGGAGTCCCCTGCTGGGATGAGCGCGTTCAGGGGGGCAGGGGGAAGCAGTTTAGGTCTGTCTTTCTCACTGGGGGCAGATGTGAGCAGGTGAGTGTTGTAACCCCTCCCCTTCCACTAAGCCCCTCCCACTCCCCCACCCAGTTACGCCTCTCCCAGACCGGAAGGGGGGGGGCACAGCTGGGATGCAAGGCCAGCCGGGGCAGAAGAGGCCTCCGGAGTCGCCTAGCCGGCCCTCCTTTGGAGGAGCAGGAGCGTTTCTGCCCCGGGAAGGAACGGGAGGAGGCGGCAGCAGCGGGTTAGAGCACCCCTTGGCAGGTGGACCGCCCTCGGCTCTGCCCCACCCCCCTGGGACAGGGTCCCTTCTCTGGCCGGGAGAGCCATTGCCAGCCCGGGGGGGGGGGGGGGGTGTTTCCCGGCAGGGCCTCGACCTCACAGGCAGGCGGGGAGGGGAAGTGGGGGGAGGCGGTGCCAAAGGGGGCTGGGGGTGCGGCCCCTCCCATGCGGACCACCCACACTCTTCGCATCCTGGTGTTCTGCACACCTGTGCAGGTGAGGGTGGGGATGGGTGGGAGGGATGCTCCGGCCGGCTGGAAGTCTGGGGTGTGGCTGTGGGAGGGGCCTGCCCTGCAGGTCCTGCCGTCTCCAAGGGCTGCCCTGTGGGGGCTTCCAGGTTCATCCAAAGACGGCGCCCTCCCCTGGCCCCCGGCTGCCTGTAACAACCACCTTGCCTTCCTGCATGGTAGGGCTGGCCTGAGCACCCTCGGATGGCCCAGCGCTGGGAGCCAGAGACCCCCGACTGCCCTGGAAGCCCCCACCCCCGTTCCCCCCCCACGAGGGGACGGGCAGCTGATGCCCCCAGGGGAAGCGCTACCTGGGCATCTGGGGTGGGGCCCCGCCTGGGCTGCGTGGGAAGTCCGGGTACTCCTGGCGCAGATGAGATGGGGGGGGGAGAGGGGGTGCAGAGAGAAAGGAAGATGAAGTGGTGGAGGATGGGGTGGGAAATGGTCCCGGTGCAGAGGAGCAGGAGGGCGAGGGGGAGCCCACCCCAGCCCTCCTCCAGGGCAGGGCACACCCTCAGGAAGAGGTGAGGCAACGGAAGGGGGGGAGACAGGAACCCTGGAGCCCCCTCCCGTCCTGGAGAGGGAGAGGGACAGAGCCAGCCTCGCCAAAGGGCCCGGCTTCCTCCTCCAGCCCCCCCCCCCGCGCTCACCAGGTCGTCCCTGTCGCTGCCCCCCGCCTGCTTCCTGCTCTGGTAGAGGCCCAGCACCTTCTCCCGCAGCACCTGGCAGAAGAAAGAAAGCAGCGGGCATTGGGCAGGGCTCAGTCGTGCTTTGAGCATGTGCAGAGTGCTTCTTCAGTGCCCTCAAGGGCCACCAGCTACACCCCCTGGAGAGCAGAGTGGGGGGGCCTTCCCTCCTTGTGGGGCTCTGCCTCAACCATCCTCAAGCCGTGCACCCGGCAGGGACCGTGGCCGGTCGCCCTCTCTCCTCTCGGCTGGGGGGGGGGGCGTGAGCCGCTCCTGCTGTGGCCTCCCTCTGACCTGCCCACTCCCCCCCAGACTGGTCGATAGCAGAAGGGCTGCCGCCGCCGCCGCTTCCCGCCCAGCCCAAATCCCAGGGCAAGGGGGCAGGGCAGAGGAGGAGGGGTGGCACACATGCCGCCGCCCCCCTCTGGCCAGGCCCGCTGGCTCACCTCGTACAGGTAGTCGAAGATCTCCAGGACGGTGAGGAGGCTGGCCCCGATGAACAGCCCCATCTGGCCCCCGATGTCCCCTGGAGGGGAAGAAGAAGCAGAGCTGAAGTGGGCGGGTGGGGGGGGGGTGTTTCCTGAACTGCCCCCACCGTGGCAGTCCCCAGCAGGGGAGGATCAGTGGCCGAAGCTGAGCTGCCCCCTTGCAAGCCTCTCCCCCCCCCCTTAGCCCCGGTCAGCAGATTCCTTTCAGCCCCGCCCTTTCCCCAGGGCAGCTTCCAGATCCAAGCCTAACACAATGGGGCCACCCCCCTTGAGTTCTCTGCCCCACCAGAAGTCTGTCCCGCAAATAAAACAGCCTAGCAGGGCCTCCTGGGGATGGGCCCCTCCCATCAACAGGGAGCGGCAGAGGAGAAGGTGCCGGGGGGGGGGGTTCTGGTGGATGCCAGGCGGGTGCTTTGCATGGGGGGGGCCCCACCGGCAGGTGCCAGCCAAAGGACCCCGGTTGGCTCCCAGGGCTGCGGGGGGGGGGTGTCCTCCAGCCCTGTGGGCCCCCCAGCTTATGAAGGGCCTTGAAGACACCTTGATTTGGCTGCGAGACCGGTGCTCTTTGTGGGCCGGCCCCCTCCAGAGGCCTTGGCTGCTCCCTCCTAGGAGCGCCACCGGCCAGCTGTCTTCGAGCGCAGCCCAACATCCAGTGCTCTACAGGAACCCATCCACAAAGGTTGGGGAAACAGGGACCCGCGAGTGGGATTTATGGCCGGAGAGTTGGCCAGAGGCAGCTGCGAGGCGGGACTCTGGGGCACCGCGCCAACCTGCTCTCCCAAGAGAGGGGCCGGGCACCTGAGCAACCCCCAGCCCCCCAGCTCCCCAGCTGCTCTGCAAGCGCCGCCTCCGCCCCCTCGGGCCCGCAGGCCTCCTCTGTACGCAAAGCCCTCCGCGCCCACCTCTGGATGCCCCTTCCCCAGTCAACCCAAGGAGCCTCAGAAGGGCCCGAGCCGGTCTCTCCCCGGGCCCCTCTCTTACCCCCCTGCCTTCCAATGCACTGCCGGAGGGGGGGGGGACACACACCCCAGAACCACGCCCAAAGCTGCCTCACGCCCCTCGTTTTCCTGAGGGGGCCCTGCCCAGCGTTGCTTCCCCCACCGCTGTGGGGCCAGGCTGCCTTTGCCGCCTCCCCCCTGAAGAAGCCCTCCTTGAGGGGAGCCGTTTTCCCTACGGAGAGGAGGACTCTCTGCCCGTGTGGATCCAGGCAGCCCGCTCGGTTGTAAGGAAAGGAAAGGCAACGGGGGGGGGGGGAGGCCACAGTCTGCCCGGACAGGGGCTTTCCAAGGGGTCTGCCCCCTTCTTGGCTCTATGGCGACCACAGGGCAGCCAAGGGGCAGGTGGGACAGGAGGAAGGCAGGCGTGGGACCCTCTGAGGCTCAGACCCCGAGGAAAAGGCGGGGCCTCTGAGGCAGCGCTGAGCCTCAACGGGCGCGGAGGGCGAGATCAGAACAGCCAAGGAACCAGCCGAGCCAGACGGGAGAGCCACGCGCGGGGGATCCTGTGGTGCTGCCAGCCTGCTCCTGGCCCCCGTCCCCCAACCCTCCGCCAGCTCTGTGCCCCTCGCTTGCTCGCTCACCTAGCAGGCCCGCCACCTCATAGGCCTTCTTCTGCTCGATGGTCTCATAGCTGAGGGCTTCAAAGAAGATGTCCAGCACCAGGAGGTTCTCCCTGCGCAGCGGGGCAGAAAGAGAGAGAGAGACATGGCTGCTCTCGGGCGGGTGGGCAGACGCGGGGGGGGGGAACAGCAGTGGGAAGCCGAGGGCCCTGTGCGAACGGCCTCCGGGGGGGGGGGAGGCGACAGACTCACCGGATGTACTGCTCACTTCGGTTGTACTTCTTGGCCAGGTACTTGGCGGAGGCCTTGCTGGGGATCTTGACCACGGAGAGCTCCTTGCTGAAGCGCACCATCTCGCAGGGCGTCTGGCACCGGCAGTACTCGCTGTCTTTCTCCACCAGGAAGTCTGCGCGCACACACACACACAGCAGGGGCAAAAGGGGCAGCCGGGGGGGGGGGGTT